TGGGCAAAATGTCCCTCCTACCTCACACTCTCAATTTCCCACATGTTGAAGACACAAGTACAGAAAAACACACCTTAAACTTCACACCTACCTTCTGAGATGAGCAATCAAGGGAGCTCATGGTGCCTGTTCTAATTGTACCTAGTAAAGAAGGAATAAGGAGTTCTCAGTTTCTCCGAGGATCAGTTTCTCCCATCCAGCTGCTTTGAAATCTGTGATCCCTTAGAGCAGAACAGGGATGACACCAGCAGTGGAATGTTCAAACACTCTGGAAGCTCTGACACAGAGCTGTTTCTCTGAGGTCATAGACTTTGGTATCCCAGGGAGTTCCCCGGCAGAAAGGAAGAGAAAGAAAGACAGAATGAAGAGGTAGCAGGGTATTCTGCCAGAAGTCCTCCTTCAGTCTCCACTCCTTGCAGCGTTTGTTCTTTGTTTCTTTTCAGTAGGCTTCTTGGGACTTCCTAGAACAGCCTGATGTCTCCGTAGAGGACAAAATTGAAGCACCATCACATATTAATACATAGAAGAGGGATCTTGCTATACCAAATAACACCCCTGGGAGCCTAGACTCTTTCCCCTCTTCCTGGAGCAGTTTTAACAGTAGTAGAGTTTGTAACCAGGCCTTGTGGAAGGTAACCAGGCTTTAGCGTCTGTTGCTAAGAGGAGGGGCCTCTTCTGTGCTTAAACACAAGACTGGGCTTGACCTGAAGCATTAGTGACAGAAAGGAAATTGAGAAGGTATTTAGCAATGTCCCAGGAATGTAGCAATAAGAGATCATGATCTTGGAGAGGTCTAAAGGCACACAGGCTAGTGGTTGAGTCCTTCAAGTCTAGAGTTGGGCTGATCTAACTTTGCATTAAGTAATGTGAAGCTTGTGTCAACTTTCATTTTCAAATCCTATACCATTTTCTCTTAATATTGTGAGTACCCACCTCATAAGGGTTGTTTGACCCGAGTTTAATGAGAAAATACAACTAAAACAGTTTGTACACTGTAAATTTATCCTAATTTGCTTATAACTTTCACCACACACACACACACACACACACACACACACACACACACACACACTTTGAGACAGGATCTAAAGTTAACCTTGAACTTCTGGTCATCTGTTTCCACCTCCTTAGTGCTAGTATTTACAGGTGTGAATTCCCAAGCTTAGTTTACGCAGGACTGAAGATCATCAGCTCCAGTGCATGCTAGGTAAACACTCTTCCAAATGGTCTGTGCCCCCAGCCTTTCCCTACTTTCCCACAGTAGTCTTGCATCTAGAGAACTTTCTCTGTCCAGGGCAGGTTATGAATGTTGTGGCTAGCACCAGTATTATAGTTACAGGCACATAAGCACATATACTTGCATATAAATACCAAAGATTCAACACTGCCCCAACACTCAAAGTGCTCATCACATGGCTGCTTTCAAAATTCCCTTAGAACCAAGTTAGACTTATCAAGCTCTTTCAGGATGCTTCAGTGCCTGTGTTTCTTCATCCAGTTTCCCCCTTAACTTCATGATTCTCCCATTTGGAATCCGAAACAGATACACAGTTGTCCAGCCTTAGCTTGTCTTAATCAGAGTGGCTACAGTGTGAAACATGTTTACTGTTTTTTTTCCACAGAACAACTGCCCAGGGAACAAACATTTTCCAGCCCTTTAAAAAGCACCAAGCACATTGGTTTCTTTTTTCACACTTTATGCTCAAGATTTGACTCTCTACACTTCAGAATAACCTGATCGTCCTTGTCCCTTATGTTTCTTATCTTAAAATATGTAGAGGGTCTGGGTTGTGGCTCAAATGTAGTAAAGCACTTGACTATCACATTCAAGGTCTGGATTTGATGCCCAGCACACACACACACACACACACACACACACACACACACACACACACAGTGTATAGTTAGTCCTTTGTATCGGTGAATTGTACACCTGAGAGACTCTCATCCATGCATGTGAGGAGTAGAAAGAGATGAGCGTGCTACTAATGAGTCCATGGCCTTTTGTGTAGCAAGATAGTCTCCATCTGACATTTAATGTGCTTTTAAAAACTAGTTATGGTCAAAGGCATTAAAACAAGAGGACTTCATGTTTACTGACATGAGATGTGCTGGTATTCATGCCCAACAAATAAAGGTTATCTTCTCAACAATTCAAGAGAAAGTCTCATTTTTCCAATTTTTATATTTGGGAATATAGACACTAAACTAACCAAGTAACTAAGCAACCTGACTAGAGTTGCTCCAATAGGTAAACAGCAAAATCAGGACTTGAGTGGTTATAGGAACTGCTCATGGCTTTAGGTAAAAACCTATGTGTACACTGAGGAATGATGAGAGCCAAGCTAGGCTAAAGGTGAGAACCTGTCTCCAAAGAGAAAAAAGAGAGATGGGGAGAGGAAGAGAGAGAGAGAAAAGAAAATGGAAGAAGGGGAAGGAAGAGGGAGAGAGAAAACTAATCCCTTAAGGCACTTGTCTGTTTATTCTTAAGAAATGATGTCAGCCTTAAGACCCTCATTGCCCTCAGCTACAACTCCCCAGAGCTGACATATATAAAATTCAGAATGACCAGGTAGCTCAGAATTTCAGGGAAGCATTTTTTCAGGCTACATACCTTTTTAAATAAATGTATCCCAAATACATATGAGACATGCTTATATCAAAAAGTTATAGTTTGTTTGCCTCAAAAAGAAATTTTCCTTAGAGTTCTATAGTTTCAGTTGCTAAATCTGATAGTCTAGGGCAAGAGGCTAGCTGTATTTAGGTCACATTATGACTCTGGCTAGTAATAGTTAGGGTCAATGCATTGCTGAAAAATTGCCTCCTATTTCTTATTCTTCAGAGCCAGTGCTCAGGGCTGAAAAAGAATTGCTTAACTAGAACAAGTGTGTTAGCTCAATGAGGTTACTATCACAAAGTGCCACAGTCTCAGCAGCTTATTAAAACAAACAACAGCAAAACAAAATAAATAGGAAAAACAAGAAACACATTTCTTATAGTTCTAAAGGGTGGAAGTCTGAAGTCAGATGTCAGCATGATGAGATCACAGGGAGGATTCTAGACTGCCAGCTTTTTATGCTGCTCTCCCCTCTCCCTCCTTTATAAGGCATTATATTCATAAGGGCTTCATCTTCTTGACTAATGGCTTCCCAAAGGCCTGAACCTCCTAATACCATCACACTTGGGGACAAAGAGATAAAATTATTTAGTCCATTGCTGTAGAAGACGGTGGGAAAGCCCAGGAGAGGCTTCACAAGGGTTTATCAATTCTTTGAATGTTCATCGAGAGTCAAGTTCTCCGTGCTACAGAGATACTAGACCCCCAGATGAGAAATACACGGTATTGTAGGAAAGTCAGTGTCACTCCGGAAAAAGCAAAACCTACTGACTTTAAAAAACAGATGCTGGAGGTGAGAGGAATTAGAGGATTCAAAGAGGTGCCCCTAGATGGCACCCTTAAGCTGAAGTCCCAGAGAAGCCCCTATTTTCCAAAGCCATGTCCACCAGGGTCTGATGTCTAAGGAAAACAAACCCATTTTTCTTTTCCCCTGGGTGGGAATGTGTCATACTGCAGAAAGTGTTTGCAGCCAGACAAGAGTGCCTGAAATAAAAAGCTTGAGGGACACGTCTCTTGTCTTACTTACCATGCTCCCCATGAGAGGTAATGTTAGGAACATCAATCACACAGTAACAGCTAGACCGGGCCCTGAGATGGAGACAGACTCCAGAGCCCCAGCCCATAGTTTTCCACTGTAAGCTCAGAGGCAGTGCTTCTGAGTACCCATGACTGCACCCCACCCCCAGCCCCTCGGAAACACTTTCAGCTGGGAGGGACTGTTACCATATTTGTATTTATTTCGTGGGTAGAACCCAGGAATGCTTCCAAACACCCCACAGTGCACACAGGGCATCTAGGAAACAGACTCATCCCATCTCAAATGCGAACTGCCATTGAGTAATTGTGCTCCTCAGGCCTGGATTTTGAACCAGGAAACGTGGGTTTCTCTACTATGGATCCTTGAGAAGAGGATTTGACTTTATTTATAAACCTTATCCCCCTCCCCCGCCTTTTTTTTTTTTTTTTTTGGTTTTTCGAGACAGGGTTTCTCTGTTTTGTTTTGGAGGCTGTCCTGAAGCTCACTCTGTAGACCAAGCTGGCCTTGAACTCAGAGAGATCCGCATGCCTCTGCCTCCCAAGTGCTGTGATTAAAGGCGGCGTGTGCCACCAACTCTCGGCTTATTTATAAACTTTATCCCTTTAGTTCTCCTTTGTTTTTGTTTTTAATCTGCAAAATGGAGATAACCCATCTCTAAGATTCTCTGATTGCCAACATTTGCATTTGCGTAGTGGCTAGATTTTCCAGGCTAGGAGGTACTTCACAGACTTGAACTCCGGGGGCAAATCTAGAACTGGATCCGTGAGACCCTAAGTTCCTTTAAAAACCCACTTTTGGCTGCCAGTCCACCTGAGACGTGGCCCCAGAACTTTCACTCCAAGCCACCGCTGTAGGGACTGTCTCCAAGCCCTCATTTCCTCATTAGTTATCCTCTACAGTCTAAAAGTTTGTAGGGGTTGTTCCTAGAGTGTGTGGGAAGAAGCCGAATACTCCCAGCAAAGCTGGCAGCCGCGAGGCTGGTGCCAGGATACCGGATCCTTCCTGCTTCGGCTGGGAAGGCGGGGCAGGAACCTGGGCCTGGGCGGCGGACCTGTGTTATCCTCGACAGGGGGCGGGGCCTCTTGAGGGGCGTGGCTTCTGCCTAGTTGAAGGAAGAGCGCCCGCCGGTGGGGAGGAGCTGCCCCAGCTCTCGTCCCTAATCAGGGCTGCGTCCGTTCTCTTCTTCCTCCTCCTTTGCCTCCCGCCCTCGGTGGCTGCAGAGCTGGGTGTCGCGGCAGCTAGCACCAGGTGAGAGAGAGAAGCTGTGGGATGTGAAGCTTAGGAACCCCCGACTGGCTGAACCCTCCAAACTCGGCCTGGGAAGTGGAGGAGTTCAGGGGCTGACAGGGGGAGTGTACTAGCTTCTTTCGCCAGTAGCTGTTGGTCTCTGGGATGGTCTTGAAGGTGTCTGATGCCTCGTGTCTCAGGCTGGACGCGGGTGGGAGCTCACGGGGAGATCTCACCCACCATTTCCAGCCATCCGCGCGCTTACACATCGGTAGCTAGATTTGGTTAAAAAGTAGGAGGCGGGGGTGAGAACCAGTGCCAATCCACGAGCGAAGCTCTGCCTCATTTTTGGGAAACCTGCCTGGCAAGACTTGGAGTCTTACCTAGGTATCCACACCACCTCGTTAGGATTGGTCAACAGGGGTACCATGTGCCACGGCAGGAGGGAGCTGCAGGTGTCAAAGGTGAGTTTGGCCCCCGGAAGATCAGTGAAGGCTGCCCAATTACTCTGAATTGCCCGTGGTGGGGTATCAGATCTACATCTGTATCACACCCTTTCCTTCTCTCTGGATCCCCGGCCTTAAATTGAAAGTCTCGTCGGAAAAAGGAACTGGGATAGGTTTTTAGGCACCCCCAAAGGTCCTGCCCTCAGCTCTGGGATTCGACCTGACCCGCAGCTGGAACGTTCGTGGTGGCGGTTTTCTCCGGGACGAGGCCTTAGGGAGGCAAGGCTTTATTTAGAGCCTTGTGAGGGGCGGGGCCTGTTCTCTGAGAATCTGGTTAGGCCCCCAAGCTCAGAGTAGGCGGGGCGCCCTAGGCTAGTTGGGGTGGCGCCTTCTATCCTTCCTTATAATGCTGCTTAGTGTCTGCAGAGGACCCTAGGAGTTGAGTGTCTGGAAACTGGTTGGTGGCTAGGTAGACGCCTGTGCTGACTGTGGTCATCCTCATTCTTCCCACGCTTGCCTTCTTCAGACTCCCCAGACCGGTTCGGGTGGCACTTACATGTTTTCCAGGCCAAAGAAGACTTGTAAGGGGGCAGCTGGTCTTGTTTTAGCCCGCTGTAGAGATGAGATTAGGTGAACTGAAGGCTGGGACCATCCTAAATTCAACATCAATGCCAGCTGCTGCATTACGGACATAAATATGGGTGTAGGAGTTGATTCTCCCCTGGCTAAGAGGAGACTCTCTTTTTAGCCGATGTGATGAAATATACCACACTCTGTAATGTAGACAGTAGTAAGTTATGTTTCCTCACTGAATCACATAATAGGCAAGTGGGATATTCAATGTAGTAAATAAATGTGAGGATCTCTGAGTTGTTTTTGGCACCGTGACAGAATGAATCTACATAGCTTTAAGTATGTGAGATCAGAGGGTTGGCTGCAAGGAGATATGCAGAGATCCTATTCTGTCCAACCCAGACAGATGTTCTGGGATACATAAAATAAGAATAGTATTTTATTTAAAAACTAAATAAGGGCTAAAAGTGTATCTAATTTGGTACAGAAAATAATTATGCCAAGGCTTTGGGGACAGGTATTGTTAGTGAGGACCTCACCACACATAAATAAAAAGGTGACATTGTGCAAGGTGCTTGGTAGCCAAATAAAGAAGAGAAAGTGCCCCAAGTCCCTGTTGAAGGAGAAAAAGAAAGACTGGTAGGCGTAGAGGAAAGTGGTGAAGAAACTTGAATAGTATATTCAATTTTCTTGTTTGTCATAGGTTCTTTTCAACATTCAGGCTTAAAGGCATACATTCAGAGATTATGTCTTTCTAGCTCTTTCTGTACTGTGTGTGTGTGTGTGTGTGTGTGTGTGTGTGTGTTGTAAAACAGTGAAGTGTTTATAATAAACAGATTTAGCTTCTTCCTTCTAGCTTGCTGATCATTATATATTACAAACAGCAATGAGATACATACCCTGTGGATATATTTTTAGGTATCTATTTAACTCATTTAGGTTCATGAAAAATAAATTGCTGAATCAATGTGTGTACAGCTTAAAAATATGATAAATTTTGTCAAGTTGTATCCATCTGCATGCCCGCCATAGTGTGTAGGGGATGGTACAGGCTCCCTGGGGACTACTAATGATTCAAGAAACTTTCTGTTTCCTTCAGTGATAGCAAGAGGCAGGCGACATGAGAGATTGGGCTACATGCTACATCTGTGAACTTACTGGCAGAAGATATAATCTAGAGTGAGACTGAGGACATTTCAAGATGGCCAAAGAAGAGCCCCCAAGTGTCTCCAGAGATTTGCAAGAGCTGCAAAGGAAGCTGTGTTTGCTGTTAGACTCCTTCCAAAGTAACTCAAAGGTTAGTCTCCAATGCCATGTATAATGGGAAATTAACACTGGGATGAACAAGACAGAATGCTGTTTCTCTCTCAAATAGAGAGAGAAAGTCAGGAATCTTTCTCATTGCACCTGAGTTGTGGCCATGTTCATTGTGGCTGCTAGAGTGTCAGCCATCATATTGACATTCAAGGCAACAGGACATCAGGGGAGTGGGAAGAATGATTGTTTTCAAGTCACCTCCAAATTAAGGAAGACTTCTGGAAGTCATGGAGAATTGCAGAACACTCCCAGTTACGTCCCATATAATGTAGAATTTGTTTATATAGTCACCCATCATGGCAACTGCCACTTTTTAGCTAGATCTAAAGAGGCTACTCTTAGTCCACACAGCAGACACTATTCTTTTCTTTGAAAAGTTTGGCTCATCTGCTCTCCTAAGAAAGGGGGTCAGCTAATACCTAGTTTAAGATCTGAGTTTTGTGTTTCATTAGAAAGCCTTCATCCAACAGAAATGTTACTTTAGCCACATGTGCACTAAAATATCTTGGTACCTAACCCTAAGTACAAAGAAGCAATAACTTAATTTTAAGACTATATCTTAATTAATATATCAAAAATAGTATCATTTCATCATATAGTCATGGAAAAGGAAATATTTTTACACTCTTTTGTACTGACTCTGAAACCTAGGCTTCTTTAAACTTACAGGACTATTGTGATGCAAATTAGCCAAGTTTTCCGTGTTCAATACCACCACTCAGTGCAGTGGGATCTGAGATACTCTATTTCATTTCTTTGCATTTCCTGTATGCCTTTCAGCATTAAACAGAATGCTAGGGTTGGGGCGATGGTTCAGTGGGTGAAGCTCTTATCTGGCTGTCATGAGGATGTAAGTTTGAATTCCCAGATCCACATAAAGATGGGTGCTGAAGCACATCTCTATTAATCCCGGTGTTTCTATGGCAAAATGGGAGGTGCAGACAGGAGGATCCTGGCAAGCTAGCCTGTCTTATTCAGTGTAAAACAACAACAACAACAAAAGCCCGAGGAGAAGCTGTTCCAGACAACAGGTAGAAGGCAAGGGCCAACTCTTGAGACTGTCCTCAGACCATCACAGGAACACCATTGCATGTATATACTCACATACATAAAAACACACACACATTCACTTACATTGCATATACATATGCACAAAAAGATTTTAAAAAACCAGTACTATCTACCGGATACCATTACTATTTTGTTGTATGTGTGTGCTAGATGGTTTGTGCCTGAAAGCCTGTATGTGCATCACTTGTGTGCAGTGCCTGCAGAGGTCAGAAGAGGGCATTGGATCCTTGGAACTGGAGCTCCAGGCAACTGTGAGCTGTCCTATGTAGGTTCTGGGAACTAACTCAAGTGCTTTTCAAGAGCAGTATGTTCAGTATCTTCTCTTGACCACGGAGCCGTCTCTCCAGCCCACAGGTTTTATTAAGTGACTTTGGAGGAAGAAGGAGAGCAAAGCACCTATGAAGTGTGTCAGTCAGATTCTCTGTCGCTTTGACAAATAACTGAGCAACAATGTAAGGAAGGTTCATGGTTTTAGACCATCCTAGGACAGAGAGCAGGATAGAACAGAGTAGCTCATGTCATGGTAGCCAGTGAGCAGGGGGATGGTGTGGGGATAGGCAGGCAGGCAGACAGACAAACACACACACACACACACAGACATAGAGATTGCTTCAGAAATACATAGGGTAAAATGTACCCAAAGGACATGTCCCCAGTGACCATCATCCTGTAGCTAGGCTCTATCTTCTGTAGTTTTCCCCAACCACCAAAACCAGCAGGAGCAGCTGGGAACCAAGGCTTCACAGCACATGAGCCTGCAGGAGCCACTTTTATCTTCAAATTGTAACAAAAGCCATCACTAACAAAGAGTAGTGGTGACCTGGGTGAGCAGTAAGACCCTTCAGTGTGTAACGTCATGTAATAGTGAGTGTAACCACAGCAGATGTAATTGTGTATTTTTACTTTTGCTTAGTAGGCAGCTGTTTTTCTATATTGAAGTGTGGGTCTTCAGAATAATTTACATGTACCATTACAACGTCAACAAGGGACATCAGATTGACATACCATAATTTATATAGCCACCCATTGTCTCTGAGAAATGTAGATAGTTGCTTTCCCCATGTAGTTATGCCCTTTTCTCATGGTTTAATGAGTTCTTTGAACTTTAGATGAGGCTAGATAGGCCTCCAGACAGAATAATTGCCCCATCCTGTCTATAGTGAGTGACCAGGTCTTAATTGTCTTCTAGAATTCAAGAGACAAGAACTTGCCTAAAATAGTTTAAGCAAGCAAACAGGTAGGACCTTCCATGACTTTAGGAGACTTTAAGACTTCCCCAGGAGTCATGTGAGGAGTAAAGCAGGACGACTGCCTCAGGACTAGAACCAGGGTCAGGCTGGTGACTGGTGCAGGAAAGTAGCCCTCAACATGCCCTCTTCCTTGGGCTGTGTAGCTTCTCACGTTACTTCCATGTGTATCCACTTCATCCCGAGGTTCTGCAGCCCATTTCCCTTGACTTTTCCATTTATGTGGGCAAACATGACTGTCCAGGCTGGTACCCTCCTCTCCTCACATCTCTTTTAGCACCAGTAGAAAATCTAAAAATTTCAGTTTCCTATTCCTAGAAACACAAGTGTGGCTGGCACATTAGCCTGTGGCCATTGAGTGTCTGTTGGACTGGGATTTTCAATTTTGTTTGAGATACAGATGGCTTATGGGGTATCCTCCTGCTGAAGAGGGAACAGTTTCCAGGAAAGAGGCAAACAGGTAGATCACAAGTGGGTGGGTGACCGGGTTGGCATTTCCTGATGTGAATTATCTGTGACAGATTACTTTCTTCTCATGAGCCCACTTGCCAGGAATCCATGTACCATATCTGGATCATGTGCCAACAGGCACCCAGAGCCTAGTCTGGGAGAGACTGTGGTAGCACAGTGCCTCTGACTTGTTTTCACTTGTGTGATGATCCTGACTGCTGTCGCTGTGCCCTGTCCACTGGGTCCTTCTCTAAGGCAGCGACAGTGACTCAGTTGTCTTATATTCCCACAGTGCAGAGTTTTTCTGACTGAATAGTCTTAGGTGGAACTGTTGTGTCACAGATCCTGACCATGTGGTCCTGACTCTAGAAGCTCTCATGCCAGAGTGCATTTATAAATAAATAGCCCTTCTGACCTTGGGTAGGTACATTAATTCAGTTTGTTCCCAGCTCCTCTTATCTGGAATGAGCAACACCAGGCCTTAGACTACTGGAAAGATTATCTGGGATGACATTTGAGAAGCATCTTGCACTAAATCTGGCTAATGATGGTGCCACTTTCTCGAAGTCTGGCATTCTAGGTTTTTCAGTTCAGCTCGTGTCTGTAAAACACAGGTAGGAAGTCCATCTCTACCTCCAGATTAGCAATGGAATATTTCAATGCATGCATTCTGTCTGTTGCCAGGACAGTGAGAAGTGCTGATGTTTGAAGCCTTTGGACTTGGGTATTGTTAAGCTCTTAGATTCCCCATGCCAAATTGTCCCCAGGTCCTATTGGTTTCTCCTTTTGTCACTTAATCTGCAAGCTACATCCCTCCCCTCCCCCATTGGTCCAGATTTGGCCATTCACACTCTTGCCTGGTTTCCTGCAAATCTCCTAGCTGCCTCTTGCATACCCATCCAAGATTCATCTTACTTAGTTTTCTCTTTTGTGTATGCTACAGCCCTGGCCCCACATTCTCATTTTGCCCCTTATCTTATTTACTTTTCCGTGAGATAAAACTTACATACTACAATAGACATATTTGAGTCATATATAAAGGTTTTTATTAAAATGTTTTTATTTTAAAACAAAATGAGTCAGGGTTCTTACTTATCATCCTAGTACTCCAGTTATGAGGCAGGAGGATACAAGTTCAAGGCAATAATAATGACACTCTGTCTCAAAAAATAAAGTCTGTAGCTTTTTTATGAGAAATAATTGCCAGGCGGTGGTGGCACATGCCTTTAATTCCAGCACTCAGGAGGCAGAGGCAGGCAGATCTCTGTGAGTTTGAGACCAACCTGGTCTACAAGAGCTAGTTCCAGGACAGCCTCCAAAACAGAGAAACCCCGTCTCAGAAAAAAAAAAAGAAATAATTAATGAGATATCCTCGATTTTTTTTTCCTCCAACACATAGGGCATTCAGGTGCCAATTTCCATGGGAAATAGTTAATCTTTCTTCAGCATTCACAAAATTTATCTGCCTCTCTTTCACCTTCAATGCCTTAACATAGGGTGTTTTCAGAGGTGATTCTGGTGTGGTTACAGATTGCTAGACAGCTAAACCACAAGAACTTGGAAGGCGGGAGGTAGCATGACTAGCAGACGTTTTGTGGTGTGCCAGGAAATGAAGTTTGTCATGCCTTAGGAGGCAGAGTTGAAGCCCAGTGTCTGTGGCTGCTCTGAATGGCCTTATCTGTTTAAACAAGGTGAGCCCATATTGGGTGCCATTACCTGAGCTATAAATGCTCCTATTTCTTTTCTTTCTTTCTTTCTTTCTTTCTTTCTTTCTTTCTTTCTTTCTTTCTTTCTTTCTTTCTTTCTTTCTTTCTTTCTCTCTTTCTCTCTTTCTTTTCTTTTCTTCTTTTATTTTTTTTTTATTTTTTTTGGTTTTTGAGACAGCGTTTCTCTGTATTGTTTTAGAGGCTGTCCTGAACTCCCTCTGTAGATCAGGCTGGCCTTGAACTCACAGAGATCCGCCTGCCTCTGCCTCCCAAGTGCTGGGATTAAAGGTGTGCACCACCACCGCCCGGCTGATGCTCCGGTTTCTAGCTTGCCCCCAGATTCCTACCCTTAGACTATAGGAGAAATATGTGATTTGGAAAGAAGCCCTTCTGATAATGGTACTTCGTTTCAGCCACTGGCCTCCCAGGCCCTGAGGAATGAGACACAGGAAAGACCAGTTTTTGATGGAGGAAGTGTACCACCCCCCAGCTTTCTTTTCTTTTTGTTTCACTGTTTTTTTTTTCCTTTTTTGGAAAAAAATATTTTTTATATAATATATTCCATCCTGGTTTCTTCCTTCTCCTCCCAGAGAATTATCACCCACCCAACTCCATGCCCTTTCTTTCTCTCTCTTTAAGACAGACAGACATGCTGGGTGGTGGTGACGCACATCTTTAATCCCAGTACTTGGGAGGCAGAGGCAGAAGGATCTCTGAGTTCTAGTCCAGCCCGGTCTACAGAGGGAGTTCCAGAACTACACAGAGACACTATTTCAAAAAACAAACAACAACAAATAACGACTCTAAAACAAACAGGCAAACAAAAAACAAAGCATAATAAACAAAAAGAAAACAACACAAGAAACACACATATACAAAATCCATAAAAACACAAAATTGGAAATCATAATATATAGGCAAAATATATAGGTAAGATAAAAAATGCCCAAACAAAGCACTAAGAGATAAAAAGACTACAAAAATACCATTGAGCTCCTTTGGTGTTAGCCATCTACTGCTGGGCTTGGAGCCTGCCTGCAAGCCATGAGACTCCCATTTTCCTTTGCAAGTGGATAGCTTCTTGGTTAGGGATGGATAGCTTCGTGGTTAGGGAGGAAGGTTTTTGAATGATGGGATCTCTCAGGGAATGGGCTTCAATGACGGTAATGAGGGGGGTGAAGCCCTGAGACCTGAAAAGTGAGGGGGATGCTCATCCTTGTGGGGTTGTCTAAGACCAGCTCTACACTAAAGCAGCCTTCTCCATGGAGTGTGGTCCCCTCTCTCTTAGCCTGGTGGATGAGGGCAACCTGTTTCTTAAGGTAGCATATGGTTGCCACCATCAGTCTATGGCCAACTATAGCTTCCAGGTTGGTACTGTAAAAGCATTGATGAGGTTTTAATCCATTGTATGTATTTGCCATTTGGAGTCAAAGATCTTAGCTTTGAATAACTAGGCTTTGTCCCTTGGAACCCGGGTGACTCCAAATAAGCCATTTAGTCCATTGCATCTCAAACTTTTACCCAAAGCACCTAGGCTCTTGTTGAAAAGCAGAATTGGATGCAACAGGTGTCAGGTGGAGCCTAATGCCCCTCATATCCATAAAGCCCTTGAGGGATGCTGAGTAGCTAGGACTTAACTCCTCTGATCCTTGGTGGCATTAGTCATGAGAACCTTGGCTGCAAAGCAGTAGGCACATTGCACATACATTGCACATGTAAGAGGGTGTCTTTCTGAGAGGGCATGTGTTAGGCAAGAGAGTGGTGACATGACCTTTCCTCATCTTACAGGACTTGACAGGGTGGGAATGTTGTACTTGCCACCCTTCCCACAGCTTCTTTATATCGCTGCCAGGTGCCTTGGGAGATGTTTCATACTGATGTCTGTGAGCCTCTGACTTGCCAGAGGCCTCTGACTCTGGCTGTACTTCCCACAGCTGGGGAAGATCAGCTTAGTCTGAGATTTGGACACAGAACTTAACCTTGGCCCTTTGTCCTTTGCCTGCAGGTGGTTGCCTTCATGAAGTCCCCGGTGGCTCGGTACCTGGACAGGCATCCTTTCCTGGCTCTTACCATGCTGATGTTTGTTAGCATGTCAGCCATCCCTGTTGGCTTCTTCCTGCTTATCGTGGTGCTCACCTCCCTGGGTGCTCTTATGGGGGCCATATTGCTGGAAGGTACCCTGCCCAAGGTTCTTGGGAAATAACTCAATCCTGTAGATAGTGTTTATTGAACATCTGCCATTCTTGTCAAAGACTCCTCTTTCTGGTCCAAGGCAGCTTGTTGCAGTAGTTAAAACATAGGCTCTTGTGTTCCATCAGCCATCCATTACCACAATTGTGATTTGGGACATGACCCACTCCTTCCAAGCCTTAAATTGCACAGGCAACAAAATGAGCAGAGCCCCCAAGTGTAATACAGTTTGTGAACAGTAGAGAATGGAGGCCAACCAGAGGCCCGGCCAGTTGATGCCAGAAGCTGAGGCCTACCCAGGTGTTGAACTTACTCCTATTATAAGTGATGTCAGAAATGTGAATTTTTGTGGGAAAACTCCTGACTTCAAAAATCCAAGTTAGCTGCCATTATTACAAATACCCTGGTCCAGGCTCTTCTCATTTTCAGTCCATTTCTAATGAAGGCACCTCCTAACCATGCTCTCCTCCTAGGACTGGTCATCTCTGTGTGCGGCCTCTCACTTCTCTGCATCCTCTGTGGCTTGGGCTTCGTATCACTTGCCATGTCCGGGATAGCCATGATGTCCTATGTGGTAGTGTCATGCCTCATGAGCTATTGGTTTTCTCCCAGGTAAATATACATGTCAATAGAACAACTTCATTTTGGGCATTTGAGGGATTCACACAGATAACTCTCTAATCCAACTTGGTGTCTAGTAGTTAAATTATAAGAGACAGACGTTCTTCATAGTTGCCCATAGACGTTAAATGTCAGTGGAGTTACATACATACATACATACATACATACATACATACATACATACATACATCATATATACATACATTTCTCCTCATCCATCACTCAGAGCTTATTTCACAGCTGTAGTTGCTTTGTGAGGCAGTTACTCATTCTTCTAAAAAGATGTGTAATGTTCAAAGGCCAAATGGTGTAGAGTTTAGGAGGTTTTGGAGGGAAGTAAACAGCTGGAGGCTTGCCCGTCAGGTTGCCATGTCTACCTCCCAGGGTGGTACAGGAGCTGGGAAGCTGCCATCTTCAAGCCTACCTTGGTCTTCTCTCTTTGTAACAGTATGAACTTCTCAGCAGGGTGAACATGGCTCATGTTTACTATGTAGAGTTTTTTCTCCCCGCAGTGTGGCTCCTAGTGGTCTTTGTAGATGCTGGAGGGAAACCCAGCAATGGGGACATGCTTGGGAGATAATCTTTCACAACATGCTACTCAAGGGGTTTTCAAAGGCCACTTTTTTGGCATTTGTTTTTTGTGCTGTGTATAGATTTTAGATTCTTAAGTTCCCAAGTACCGAGTCTCTCTTGTACTTCACTTAAGCTTTCATTAATTTGATGTGGTGAAGGTATTTGCCTAGTGCCAGATTCCCTGCTGAACACTTTCCAGGCTCATCTCGTTTAACCCAGGGAGGAGGAAAGCTTCATTCTGTGATAGGGAAAGGAAAGTCAGGTGTACAAGCTGAGACTAGCAGAGAAGAGACTTATCTAGATCTTTTGAGTCTGGTAAAACTCCAGCCAAAATATAAAGTATAAAGCAGTCGACAATCTCTGGAAAGGGACAGATAGTAAATATTCTCAGGCATTTAGACCATGGCAGGCCTCTCAGCTCTGTGGCTGTACTATGAGAGCAGGTAATAAGCAAATAAATTGGTCTGGCTGTATTCCAATAACACTTTATTCAGACTTCACAAAAACAGATGACTTGCCAAAGTTTACCCTTATGATCATGATTGATTTGCCAGTCCATGTTCTAAAAAAAAACCACTAGGACCCTGAGCTTTGGTTTTCTTACAGAATAGCCCTTGAACATCTTAACAAAAGTTGTCTTATCACTTGTCTAGAACGGTCAAGGTCCTGGACTTGATCCCCAGTATCCCCCTGCCCCTCAAAAAGTTTATCCTGTCATTATTTTTTGTTGATGTGTCTGTGATCTTAAATTGCTCAGTAGTTCTTCTCACAAGATTGCTTAACTGATAATCCTGGAATCATAGCCAGCCTCTCATAAGCTGCTTTGATCACTATCAGTTTTAAAGGACATACAGTGCCCTCTTTGGCTTATTGAGGGCAATGCTTTGGAGCTAAAGTCCCTCCCTGTCCTTGAACTCTGCTTTAATAAGGCTACATGTTTAAAAATTGTACTATAGAAAGAAGTGTGATAAGGTGCTTGGGAGACAGCTCAGGTGGAAGCTGCAAGAATGAGGATCTGAGTTTGGAATCCTAGAACCAACATAAAAATGCCAGGCGTGGTATTCACCTGTAATCTCAGCACTGGGGAGACAGAGATAGTTGGGTTACTGCAACTTGTTGGCCAGCCAGCCCAACCTGTCCATTGAGTTCCAGGCCAATGGGAGACCATGTCTCAAAGTAGGTAGACAATGTTCATGAAGATGACACATGTGAAAATGTACCCACACACATATATGCATCGTCACACATGTGTATGTACACACACACACACACATACACACACACACTTAAAGAGAAAAGAAAAGAAAAATCGGAATGGTGTTTGCCAGTGGAGTGCCTCAACTTAGTGCTCCCTGTTCCCATCCTCTTCCGAACCAGGACATCAGGCCCTCTGTTCCCATTTGGGCAGAGATTCTCAACTTTCTGTTCTCAGAACTCACTTCACCTTCTCAAAGGCTACTGGAGCATCCAAGGAGTGGGTGCAGCACCTTAATAACAGTCCCACTGCAAATTATAGCAGCAACTACAAAACTGTCTGTTCACTTAAAAGGAAAAATATTACCCATCTAGACAAAAGACATTTATTAATGAAAATGGTTGTATTTTATAAACAAAATTAATTTAGCCAGGTCACCTTGTCTTACATTTTATCAGTAGCTTTCTCTATCTTTACCACCTCCAGCTATGTGGCCAGGGCTGGCCTGGAACTCATGATATAGTCTAGGCTAGCCTCAGTCACTCCTCCTGCCTCAGACCCCTCCTCAAGTGCTGGAACTACAGGTGCACAGTGGCACTCATGGCTATTGTAAATCTCTTAACTATGTGCTCTGATGGAAGTAGCAAGGCTAGTCCTTGTACCCGCATTTGTACCACTGTTCATGTAGCCTGGAGGAAATCTTTGAAGAGGCCTGAGCCTCCCAGTGCAGTGGAGCAAAGGGAAACCTTCTTCTCCATAGGACTGTGGACATTCTCTGAGAGTATACCTGAACTTCATAATGATATTTGCTTCAAATTCAGTGAAAATTTGACTTTTTTTTACTCTTTTAATAATCTGAATAGATCTGTACCATGCATGATTATGTGACTCTTCATTCCTTGGGCATATATGTAGATCTTCCACATGTTATGTGAAAACTTCACTCTTCTTCTGTGACATAACAAGAATCAAAGGAACATAGAAGGTGTTGTGATAGATTAGTTGCCTTCAGAGAACTCCTGTATTAGGAAAATCTTTTAACACTCAAAATAAAGACAGTCCCTCGTTGACTGACCCAAGCACAAGAGAGGAGGAGCTACCAGTTCATCCCATGGCTTAATGGGTTTGACCTTAAACTATTAAAGAAGACACAGCTTTTTTATTAAGAAAAATGAAACGAATTCTAAGATGGCCTTACTTAGGAAAATACACTAGACAGTTTCTAAGCAACACATTATGATCTTCTCTATAAATAATCCTAATGTCAAAGGTGCTGGAGAGACTTCCTAGGGCCTGCAGGATGGGCTAGGGGGAAGTGAGGGGCCAGAGCAGCTTGTGTCTTTGTAGAGCCACCCAAATCATTCACCCCATATCCCACTGGCTCTCTCCAAACAGCCACAGTGTGCCTGGTGTCTTCATACCCAATCATTTAACCCACATCACACTGGCTTTCCCCAAATAGCCAGAGTGTTCTTGACTTCCTCATATCCAAATCACTCACCCAACATCACACTTGGGTCTCCCCAAATAGCCAGAGTATGCCTGGCTTCCTCATAGCCCATTACACCCAAGTTCTACAGACTGAATTTAGGATTCAGGCATCTGAAGCAAGCACTCTCAAGGCCTTTAAAATTATTATGATTGAGCTAGGCAGTGGTGATGCACACCTTTGATCCCAGTACTTGAGAAGCAGAGGCAGACCAATCTCTGTGAGTTTGAGGCCAGTGTGGTCTACAAAGCGAGTTCCAGGACAGCCAGGGCTAGCTACACAAAACAAACAAATTATTATTGTTATTAAAATTTGAGACAAGCTCTCACTAAGTTGGTCAGGCTGGCCTTGAACTCACTGGGTATCCCAGTCTGACCTTCAAACTGCAAACTTCTTCCTGCCTGGGACTTCCAAGCAGCTGGGACTGCAGAGCCTGTCAACTGCCCAGTGCTTCCTGGCATACTTGCTTACAAAAAGCAAGAAGAGCAAAGGTTTCCTCTTTTTTTTGTGGTTGTTGTTGTTTTGCTACCAGTTAGAACTGTTTTGCTGGCAAGTAATTAAAACAAAATAACCTAAGGTATGAGGTAGATACTAACTCAAATAAGATTTTCTTTTTATTGCATAACCAGAGATGGAGACAGCCAGGGCTGGTACAACCACTGTGTGGTCACCAACATACTGAGTGCCTTCTGCCTTTCTGAACTGCCATCCTTAGACCATAGGTTTGCCTCCTCATGGCTGTAACTGCTACAGCTCCATGTATAAACGAATGTCGGGGCAGGGGGAGTAAGCACAAGTGACCCTTTCTACCAAGCAAAATCTCTCCCTAGAGCTCTTTCTCATCCTCCCCAAAGACACTTGTCAGGTGTCAATCAGCTTAGACAGAGGTCCAGCTTTCTTACCTTCCGTGACAAGAGCTCACAGAACTCATAAGTCAAGAGCGATGCACATGTGGCTGGGCCATTCTCGGTGTTGCTCCTAAACTAACCATTTTGTCTTTTCACACAACAGGCCCCTGACACAGCAAAATGCCAACACTGACTGTCAGCTGGCTATGAAACCCATGGACTTCGAGAGGCTCTGCCAGGAATGATGGAGCCAAATGGAACCAGCGCTTGCTTTCTAAGCATGCCGGGAAAGCTCTTCCCCTCGCCGCTTGAATCAGAGCTCCGGAGAGAGGGCTGAATGCTTGCTCTGCTTCACTGCTCACTGCGTCTAAAGTCCTGCAGTGATCAGGGCGCCTCCCCACCTCATCACTCCCTAGTATGCAGTCTTGACGTTAGCAGAGTACTGGGCTTCTAGAACTGGGAAGCTTAACCACTAGGGCCTCTGGGTTGAGTCCCAGGCCCCACCTGGGAGTAAGATGGATTGTTTTTGAAGTTTAATTTTTTTTATTGGGGTAAGGGGTTGGAGAAGAGGGTTTTCCCCCAGTCATTTTAGATAAGAGGTGAAAAGAAAGAACCCAAAGAGAGACAGCTCTTCTACCTTCAACACTTTTCTTACCAGCAAGAGCGGCAACATTGAGGAAGTGCGGCCTTTTAAAACCTGAAGAGCAGTCTTAACCTTGCAGCCAGGAGTCCTTTAAAAAAGTCTCAGGGCCTAGTTGTTAAGTGCCTTGATATTTGCACTTGATAAGAAATGGCAAGTCATTTCTTAACAAACAAACCAAACACATACTGAAGACTACAGAGAAAAAAAAAAAAGTACCTGTGTGATTTCCTCTTCATTTACGATGGTATTCTAGTAAATATTTATTTGGTTCTTACTATGCTCTCTCTCCTACCCATTCCCATATGTCATATTTGGCAAATCAGATGTCTGCTAAGATGACAAAACACAGAGATAATTACCTTTATAAAGGAAAAAACTATGGCTAGTGGTTCTATAGGTTTTAGTCCATTAGTCCTGCTGACTTGTGCACAGTACATGACTAGAGTTCCTGACAGAGGCCTACTCACCTCATGGTGGCTAGGGAGCAGAAAGAGCCTGGAGTTCCAATAGCACCTTTAAGGGCAGCCCCCAATGACCTAACTTCTTCCCATTAGGCCCCATTCTCTAAAGGTTCCTTCTGCTCCATTAGCACCATGGCCAGGTGACTAGAGCTTTAACACACGGACCTTGGGGAACACATAAAAACCATAGCAATTTCTCTGTTGATTTCATAGCCCATCCTGTGTAATCTGGGACATTAGTTACTTTTCTTGTTGTGACCAAATACCTAACAGGTAGCCACTTTAGGGTGGGAAAATTCGTCTGACTTACAATTAATGGGGCTGCAGCCCATCATGGTGGGTATGGAATGGCAGCAAGTCACATTGCACATGTAGTCAGGAAGCATTTAGAAGACTGGAAATGGAGCCCAGCTGAGAACCTCAGGGCCTGCCCCTGGGGGGTACCAGGAGCTGAACGTCTGAGTCTACGGGGAACTTCTCACATTTAAACCACAATACACAGCCTATTTAGTTGCTAGAGACAGCACCCAACTCAAAAAGCTGTTTTCAAAAGGATTGGAGTGATTTGGAGAGGTAATCATTTCATTCAACCAGACCCAGTGGGGAGATTTGCTATTGTGTTTGAAACAGGACCTCACTGTAGTCCAGGTTGGCTGCAAAATCTTTCTTCATGCATTGTGAGGATCTGGAGCTCATGAGATTTCACCCACTGTCCTTACTGTGAGCTGCTTTCTCAGCAGGTCTGTCCCACACCAAGGTTTCTACAGCTCTTTGGTGCACCTGTGCTTGACTAGAAAGCTGCTCTATACCCATAGTACATGCAAATTCCAGGCTTGGTTCAGATTGGATAGATGTGGGTCATATGACCACTCTTGAACCAATCACAGTGACCATTTGAGCATTTGCTCAAATGGCTTGTGTGTGCATGCAAGAACTGGAAGAGGGCCTAGATCAGCCACTTTGGCCCCATAGTTGGGTGGGTGGGAGAGAAGGAAGATGCCCCCATAGGAATACCAGAAGAAAAAGAAGTTTCCTGGGAGAAATGATGCCACTGACTCCAGTGGGACATAAAGTTCTCAACTTTCCTGCATCCTATGATATCCAGCTTTACTTGACACTGAAGGGGACAAGAATTGCCCAAGACTATCAACACCATGAAGTATTAGTAGTAGCAGTTTCTGATTATTGAACAGCTCTTCATGCAAGGGTCTGACCCATGTATCCTGCTGTCAAGCTAGCTGGGTCCTGAAACTTCAGTCTGGGGACACAGAGGACCCCTGCCTTACTCCCAAGATTTACTGTCTAATAGAAATTGATGGCAGTTGCATTTGTGATTTATTTATTTATGATCAATAATCCACAGAAACTCCTGGCATAAAAGGACATAGCAATATTAAGAGGGTTGGGTGGGGTTCTTCTCTGAGGTGTGCCTTGGGAAAGAGTCTGCATCCTAGCAACATGATCACAGGTCTCATCCAACTCCCTGAGGGCTACAGATGGAGGCCCTAGTTCCTTGCTTCATGTACTTTTGTTCATGACAACCAACAAAGGTCAGTCTCTGTCTTCAAAGCCACCAAGGAAGAGACACAAGACGGGCATTACATTTTGAGTAGCACAGCCAATGCACAATGACATCTATCTCGTCATGGTTCCTGTTCTTTGGAAGTAAGTCTTTGGAATGTCCCACACTAGGGAGAAGGGGGTCACACAAGGGCATGGGAACCACAGATGAATCATGGGCTCCCCTACAGTCTGTCAGATCATAAACTGTGAGAAGTGCACAGAAAAAAAGTGGAAGAGTGAAAAATATATGAGGGCCCCTGCAGCCACAGAGACTGGGGACTGTTCTATGATCAAAAGAATGACACATTGTGACTATGGAGGAAGGTATTCCTGGAGTAGGACAAAATGGCCCAAGGAACTTAATGTGGCTGGGTCTGATAAGAAGACCCCTGGAGAAGGAACAGGAGTTTACACCAAAACACAGGCGTGGGAGTAATGCAGGAGCTTACATGGCAAAAAGTCAGGGTCAGACTTTGGATGTTTCATTTCTATATTTTCTATTTGCCTACCTCCTCCCTCCCATTTCTCTCCTCCCCATTTCATTCTCCTCTTTCCCTCCCTTCCCATGTCTTCTTTGCTTATTCCTTCCCTACTTTCTTCACTTCTCCCTCCCATCCTTCTTCCTGATAGGGTACTGTTATGATGAACTCAGAACTCTGTGTCGTCAAATCTGACTCCAAAGTCTATCTCTTTCTGCCCCAGTCTCCCAAGAGTTTGAATTATAGGTATGTAATATATACCCAGATCAGACTGCGGACTTTTTGTGGCTCACAGTCAAAGGGTTGGAGGCAGATAGGCCACTTAAGAGGTCTGCAGAGGCTGGGAACACAGAATTGTTGTGACTTTTACCTAGGTTGGAGGGGATGAAGACCTAGTGTGGACATCTAGAGGCATTTGTTGGTGGTTTGGTGTAGGTAGAGAAGGAAAGTGGAAAACAAAATATTTAGCTTCAGCCAGCGGGTGGCCAGTGATGCCATTTCCAGAGATGGGGACTGTGTGGGGAAATCCACATCCTGAATTGTTGAGTATGGCTGTGCCGTTTGACACCAAGATGATGTGTCAAGTAGCTAGCTGGCCTGGTGCAGGGTCTCAGCTGGGACACAAGATATGGGGTTATTTGCAGTGCTTTGCAAAGCCCTTCTGGGGAGGCTTTTCAGCTACTAAGCAAGAGCTTTTCAGAACATATTTCTGGTTACATAAACACTCTTGCTTCAGACTCAGCCAAGTGCAAAGTGTTTTCCCACAGCACTTAGGAGTGCTAGGCCCTTCTATTCATGGGTAGACCAATTAGTTTCCCTACCTGCTTATGTTCTCAAAGCATCAGCTTCTAGATCACAGAAAGGAAGCCAAGGTACAGAGGTTAAACAACTTGCTGTATTAAGCCAGGAGGCATGACACCGAAATCAAGATTAGGTTAATTTAGCCTCATGTCACAGAAGCTACTGGCCTTTAACACAGTCCAAAGGATGGCTCATTGGAATGGTAGCTGGTGCCCACACTATGAAAACTATAGCTTTATTAGGTGATACATTCTACTTCTCTTTCCATCCTGATAATTTTGTTTCATTTACTTCTGAGCTGGGTGCTGTCTTCTGTCTGTGCTTCCAGTCAGTCCAAACTCTTGTCCATTTTAAAGGTGAGGAAGTAGAAAGATTTGGGAGCTTAAACTGTCTAAGGGCAGTGTGGGAAGTGGGACTCAAACCCAGTTTGCCTGTTTGAAAAACTCCCCCTGTAACCAGTGTGCTGTTGAGTATGGGTGCCTCTATCTGCCTTTAAGGCCTTCTGGGATTAGCCCCATTCTCAGGTATGTGAGGTTCCCAGGCAGCAAAGTACTCATGACCTTTGTTGTTATGTAGAATGACTCCTGGTGTCACTGGTGTTATAGTGCAAATGTTCAGTTTCTGATGGAGTAGTGCCTATAATAGCAGTGTTTCAAACACCAAATCCTTGTGGCTTCCATTGAAGCCACAAGGAAGGGGAATTCCTGGGACCACTGGGTGCTGGAGCTTCCAGCCACACCTGGAAATGTTTAAAAAAAAAATCAGAAGGAATGAAGTCCAGTAGAGCTTCTCTCCCACTACCCCCACTCCCACCCCCCCCCAAACAAAAAAGTTTGTTTTTGAGCCAGCAGAGGGAGCCAACATCCAGGCCAACTGAAGCCTGGGGGAAGAGACTGACCAGGGCAGAAAGCAGGTGTCAGAACCTGGCTTCCTCTAGCAGGCAGACAGGACTTGAGCTTTGACACTGCCTTCAGCTTCCAGATAAGGCTTTCCACCAAAAACACTCGGAGCAGCCAGGTAATAGGCATCTTCTCTAAAATCACTATTGTCAGTGGCAAGCCTGAGGCCCAGAGGGGACAATAGCTTACCCAGAGCCATGCTGTGAGTCTGCAATAGCCAGTCTTGAATCTAGGACTCCTGTATCCGGCAATGACTTGGTGGCATGCTTCCTATCTCCTGAATTCAGAGACGATGACTCCTGAGTGTTGAGTGCAGGCAAGAAGTAAGAAACTACAATACTGTCAGCTCTGAGCCAAACTTCTTTTCATAGCTTGTCCTTAGAGCCAACCAACCATGAATGAAGACTATTTGAAAAACAAACATGTCTGTGCTGAACATTCCCAGGCTTTTTATTGTTATTTCCTAGTCAATACAAGAAGCCTTTACATAGCAGTCATATGTATAAGGTGTTAAGGCAGTGTATGGAGGTATGTGTAGGTTTTATACTAATATGGCTTATTATTGTTGTGTGACTTTCTGGAGACATTTGAGCAAATGTCTATTCCTCCAGCTAGGACACAACTGTTACATGCTGGGGGTCTGGATTAGGTTCATTTTCTCTACCAGTTAAAGAATTAAAAGACAGGAAAAATCATCTTGAGCTCAACAGGTGGCAGCAGAGGGAATCTCAGACACAGCAGGCAGAATCAGCCAGCGAAGAAAGGATTTTGTTAAAGGTGAGGAAACATGCATGCACACATACACACACATGCATGCACATAGCACACACACAGAGACTCTTTGCAAAGCAGAGGGTGGACTCGGATACTAAAGTCTTGCTTCTCCTGGAGGGCTGGAGGTTTTAAGGGTCTTTGGTTAGCTGAAATGGAGGGGTCTTCTTTCCTTAATTTAGGGTTGGTCTGCTTAAACAAAGAAAGGGATGCTAATAGGCCTATAACTCTTTCTAAGCAAGCCTTGAACTTACCAGACTGGTCTGTTGGTATGTGTGTGTGTGTGTGTGGGGGGGGGTTAGCCCTTACTGGCCAGAGAAAAAGCCCTCGAGGCCTTTGTCTCAAGCCACCCAGGCCATTTCCTCAGGTCAAGAGGGTAGGGAAGAAGCCAGAGGTTTGCCATCTTT